TAGCGTGGGGCAAGCCAGGCTGCAGATATAAAATGTGCTAACATGCTGTACACTACCTGGCAATGTTGCCCTATCTACTGTGCATTTGTGCATGTTTCTGAACATGCACGTTGACATATGGTAGTCAGCGCACAACAGACTCTAGTACACTGTGGAGTCACACACTGGTTTGCCATGCACTAATTCTCCAAGCAGACAATATCTGATTAATAGAAGTTTTAGCATTATTATGGTTATTCATAGTAGCACCCACTATGTTCTAAGAACCTTCCAACTACTCCAGGAGAACCCACATTAATATGTCTAAGCCAAATCTTGACTTCCTCCCACACAAGAAGCTCACACTTGCTTGAGTGACTGCAAGTGCAGATTTGGCTCAACACTGGCAGATAATTCAACAGTAAGGCTATGTCTACACTGCCAGGTTATTTCAAAATAGTAACTTCTGAAATAACTATTTTGAAATAAGCCATTCCCCTTCACAAGCAGGAGTTATTTCAAAATAACAAGCCCTTTATTTCGAAATAACAGGCTTGGCAGTGTGGACGCTCACCTTGTTATTTCAAAATAAGGGGAGTTACAGTACATTCCAGTGGTCCGGCATCCAATGGTCTGGCACTCTTGATGGTCCAGCACCATCTGGAACCTGGAAGTGCTCCGGGCAGCTGGACAATTGGAGCTGCTCTGCCCCCGGCTTCCCCAATTCAGCCGCTGCTGAAACTGACCAGCGACTGACTCGGGGAAGCCACAGAGCAGCTTGGGTGCTGCCGAGTTGGTCCCGCAGCACCGAGGGGTACATCCCCCCCACTCCATCCCAGACCCCTCATAGCCCCCCCTTCTGATAGTCCGGCATATTTGATAATCCGGCACCTCTGGGTCCTAAAGGTGCCGGATTATCGGAAGTTTACTGTATTTTGAAATAACTCCCCACTGTGGATATGCCCTAACAGAACAGATGGTGGCCCTTCTCTAAATCACACTAACAACTGGAAGACCCAGTAAGACTATAAGTTAGTGAGGTACTGAAAAACAATAAAGTAAGGAAAATGCATCACAATGTACTGAAGTGCCATTTTTCTTTATAGTTTGTATTTCGGTAGAAAATGATCTGTTGTGCAGTTTTGGAAGATACACGCTTGCTTTTGGCTTGCAAGTTATGGCTGTATGACTCAGCGCAGGATACATTAGCAAGGGTCTGCTGTGTTAGGTTGCGTAATGGAATCTTGGCTCTCTAATACACTAGCAATAAGCAGCTTTTGAGACTGATTAATAGCTGAAATGAAACTGAAGCATTTAATCAATCTCCGTAGTCACCTATTTTTTTGCAGGCTACAAAGCCACATTCTTAAGATTAAGAATCACCCCTTAATCTTTCCCTTTTTCTTTCTCCCTGTTGTTCTGCTTTCGTGAGCACAGTGTCGCTGAAAGGTGTTACCATGACAGGCAGTGAAGTCAGGTATGGAGCTAAAGAACATGCAGTGCAGACTTCCTTCACATCTCTCCTCAAATGCATGTCAGCATGAAGAAGGGCCACCTCTGAGGGGAGTGAAACACTAATTTCTAGCTATCTCTGTGGCCCAGCCACACTTTCCTCTTCTGTACAAGGGGGCTGGAACAATCTGTATTGTGGGGGTGCTGACAGCCATTAAACCAAACTGTAAACCTTGCAAATAATGGAAGCCACAGCAAGACGGGGGGTGTAGTAGCACCCTCAGCACTTCTAGCTCCAGCATCTAAGCCAGCTGTGGTGAGGGATCAGATTAAGTCAAGGATTCTCAAACTTCACTGCACCATGACCCCCTTCTGACAACAAAAATAACTACACAACCCCCCAGGGGGAGGAGGCAAAGCCGAAGCCTGAGCCCCTCCACCCTAGGAGGGGGAACACAGAGGCAGCAGTGTGGGGTGGCAGCAGTCCCTGTTCACGGGGGGCCGAGCTCTCTGTGGATAAAAGCTGCTCTGGCATCCCATGGATCAGCCTCTGTCCACAGCAAGCTCAGGCCTGCCAAAGACAGAGGCTCACAACACTCCAGTTAATACATCCCAGAATCATGTTTGCTTTCTTTGCAACAGTATCACACTGTTGGCTCATATTTAGCTTGAGGTCCACTCTGTGAAAGAAGACTGAAAGAATTGGGCTTGTTTAGTTTGGAAAGGCGAAGACTGAGAGGGGACATGAGAGCAGTTTTCAGGTACCTAAAAGGGTGTCATGAGGAGGAGGGAGAAAAATTGTTCTCCTTGGCCTCTGAGGACAGGGCAAGAAGCAATGGGCTTAAACTGCAGCAAGGGAGGTTTAGGTTGGACATTACGAAAAACTTCCTAACTGTCAAGGTGGTTGAACACTGGAATAAGATGCCTGGGGAGGTTGTAGAATCTCCATCTCTGGAGATAGTTAAGAGCAGGTTAGACAGACACCTGTCAGGAATGGTCTAGACAGTGCTGGGTCTTGCCATGAGGGCAGGGGACTGGACTCAATGACCTCTTGAGGTCCCTTCCAGTTCTAGTGCTCTATTATTCTAAATCACTTTCCACAGTACTCCTTCCTAGGTAGTCATTTCCCATTTTATGTGTGTGCAACTGATTGTTCCTTCCTAAGGGGAGTACAGGCAGTCCCCGGGTTACATGGATCCGACTTACATCGGATCCCTACTTACAAACGGGGTGAGGCAACCCCACGCTAGCTGCTTCCCCCCAGCAGACCAGGGAGACGTGAAGCTAGCGCCCCCCCCAGCAGACCAGGGAGACGCGAAGCTAGCGCCCCCCCCAGCAGACCAGGGAGACGCGAAGCTAGCGCCCCCCCCACAGGCCCGGGGGGCAGGGAAGGGAGTGCCCCCCCCAGCAGGCCAGGGAGACACGGAGCGGCTTTTCTCAGCAGACACCTCAGCTTGAGAATAAAGGACTGAGGGAAGTGAGGTGTGGGTGAATAAAACTGAGCTCTGGAGAAATGTTTGGCTGGAGTTTCCCCTACAATCAGGGCCCCCCCCAGCAGACCAGGGAGACGTGAAGCTAGTGCCCCCCCAGCAGGCCAGGGAGACACGGAGCGGCTTTTCTCAGCAGACACCTCAGCTTGAGAATAAAGGACTGAGGGAAGTGAGGTGTGGGTGAATAAAACTGAGCTTGGAGAAATGTTTGGCTAGAGTTTCCCCTACAATATGTACCAGTTCCGAGTTACATACAAATTCAACTTAAGAACAAACCTACAGTCCCTATCTTGTACGTAACCCGGGGACTGCCTGTTCTTTGCATTTCTCCTTATTGAATTTCATTCTATTTACCTCAAACCATTTCTCCATTAGTCCAGACCATTTTGAATGACACTCCAGTCCTCCAAGGCATTTGCAAGGCCTCCCACCTTGGTGTCATCCACAAACTTTATAAATGCACTCTCTATGCCAGGGGTCGCCATCCTACTGCACACAAGCTGATTTTGAGTAGCACTAGCAGGAGCTCAGCCTCCTGCTTCCTTCCCCATGCAACAGGCAGCACATTCTGCTGCTGGAGCCCTTCCCCCACACACAGTGGCAGCAGGAGGAACCAGTGCTGGGGCTGACTCAGTGGCTCCTCTGGCATCTGGAGCTGGCCTGGGAACCATGTGGCCACAGCAGTGGTGCCTCCAGGGCTGGCCCCAGAACTGAGTGGCCATGGCAGCAGCACCTCCGGCCTGGGAATTGTGTTGCTGTGGCACTGGCATCTCCAGTGTCAGCCTGGAACCACATGGCTGTGGGGCCTCCAGGGCCAGCCAGGAAATACGTGGCCACACCTTTGCTTTCCACCCCAAGCTCTCTCCTTCCAGGGCCTCAAGCCTGTCAAACTTAGCAAGGCCATTGCCAGTGCTAATTGTGCAGACCTACATAAAGTCTGCCAGCCAGCCTTCCCTCTTGGGCTCCTTGCAATAGACTCCCTCCCTTCCCTGGTCTGCCACTGCTCTTTTATCAGGGTCAGCTGTGCCCAAATTAGCTGCAGTCCCACCTATGGCTGCCTGCCACTCAGCCTCCCTAAAAGGTTTTAACCTTTATAGGGCCAGTGCAGGGCAGATGCCTGTCACACTTCACCTTTCTAATTTTGTCCCTACACACTCGTGTTATTTGTTTATATTCAGCCTTTGTAATTTAACCTAATTTCCACTTTTTTTTGTAGGACTCTTTTTTTAATAGCCCAGAACTAGGGATGTAATAGTGCAGTCGATTAACTGATAAGCAAAAGCGTATAGGTTAATGCTAAAAGCTACATGCATTTCCTCCCCCCCTTCCCTGCCACTACCTTCCTGCTAGTAAATTTAGCAGCAGGCTGGAAAGCACTCTGGCTCAGTCCTGGCTTATGATGGGTCTGGGACCTACCCCTACTGTGGCTCTGCATTTAAAGTGCATTAGGATCTGGGCGGGCAGGCAGCTTGGCTCAGTCCTGGCTCACGCTGGAACCTACCCGTTTCAGCTCTGCATTTCAAGTGTATTAAGAGCCAGGAGGGCAGGCAGCCCAGCTCACTTCTGGCTCGCGCTGGGTCCAGGAGCTCAGACTTCCCCCCGTCCCCTCAGTCAGGGACTGCTGCCACCCTGCACTGCTGCCTCTTTCTCAGAAGCAACAGCACAGGGCGACAGGCAGCTGGTCCATGAGAGGAGCTGGTTTTCAAACTGGCTCCCCTCCTGGACCAGCTCAATTGCCACCCCACGCTGCTGCCTCTGATACAGTGGCTGCTGGCTCTGCCCCTGGGGACTATAGAATAGTCGACGAACAATTCATGAGGTTACTCGACTATTCAATTAACCGATATTTAACATCCCTAGCCAGACCCCATTGTGCTCGGCACATATATACATGTACAGGCTGAGACCTCTGTTCATTTCCAGGCACTCCTATGTCTGGAGGTCTGAAAAGGAACCGTTTGCATAAAGTCATTTTCATGTTATTTGGGGGCACTGGCTGAAATATGCTACCAGCTTTAACTCTTTTTAACCATAAGTTTTTGATTGCAAATATATGTGGAGTATTTAGACAGCACCCACCTGTGTCATAATGAACAACCAGGTCCTTTGAGTGATCACCTATCTCCAGTGGCTGGAACTCTATTGTGAGCTGCATGGTCTCCCCTATGCCCAGTGTCCCAATGCAAGGCACTACAGAGAAAGGGCTGCAAAAAAATGAAAAAGACACATTAGGCCTAAATAGGAACACACTCTTTGGTGGCTAACAGACATGCAAACTGATCATAGAATCCTAGAACTAGAAGGGACCTTGAGAGGTCATCGAGTCTAGTCCCCTGCCCTCATGTCAGGACCCAGTACTGTAGACCATCCCTGATAGACATTTATCTAACCTACTCTTAAATATCTCCACAGATAGAGATTCCACAACCTCCTTGGGCAATTTATTCCAGTGTTTAACCACCCTGACAGTTAGGAACTTTTTCCTAATGTGCAACCTAAACTGTCCTTGCTGCAGTTTAAGCCCATTGCTGCTTGTTCTATCCTCAGAGGCCAGGAAGAACAATTTTTCTCCCTCCTCCTTGTGACACCCTTTTAGATATCTGAAAACTGCTATCATGTCCCCTCTCAATCTTCTCTTTTCCAAACTAAACAAGCCCAATTCCTTCAGTCTTTCTTCATAGGTCATGTTCTCTTGACTGTTAATCATTCTTGTTGCTCTTCTCTGGACCCTCTCCAATTTCTCCACATCTTTCTTGAAATGTGGTGCCCAGAACTGGATACAATACTCCAACTGAGGCCTAATTAGCACAGAGTAGAGCGGAAGAATGTCGTCTCGTGTCTTGCTCACAACACACCTGTTAATGTATCCTATAATCATGTTTGCTTTTTTTGCAACAGCATCAAACTGTTGACTCGTATTTAGCTTGTGGTCCACTATAACGCCTAGATCCTTTTCTGCCGTACTTTTTCCTAGACAGTCGCTTCCCATTCTGTATGTGTGAAACTGATTGTTCCTTCCTAAGTGGAGCACTTTGCATTTGTCCTTATTAAACTTTAACCTATTTACCTCAGACCATTTCTCCAATTTGACCAGATCATTTTGAATTATGACCCTATCCTCCAAAGCAGTTGCAACTCCTCCCAGCTTGGTATCATCTGCAAACTTAATACGTGTACTCTCTATGCTGATATCTAAATCACTGATGAAGATATTGAACAGAACCAGTCCCAAAATAGACCCTTATGGAACTCCACTTGTTATACCTTTTTAGCAGGATTGTGAACCATTAATAACTACTCTCTGGGAACAGTTATGCAGCCAGTTAATGCACCCACCCCCATCTAAGTTGTATTTGCCTAGTTTATTGATAACAATATCACGCGAGACCTCATCAAATGCCTTACTAAAGTCTAGGGTATACCATGTCTACCTCTTTTCCCTTATCCTAGCAAAGAAAGCTATCAGATTGGTTTGACATGATTTGTTCTTTACAAATCCATGCTGGCTGTTACCTGTCACCTTATTATTTTCCAAGTGTTTAATTAGGCCTGGCTCTCCTCTGTTACACCTCTGTTCATTAGGAAGTACTTAAATCAGAGTTTGTAGGATCAGAATCATGCTCACTGACCCCAACTTTCTGAAAAGATCTCACTCCTCAAATGACCACTCTGATGTAAACAGGGTATAATCAAATGAATTCCCTTCCACAGCCCCATTTGTATGGAATGGTTCTGTGATAGCATCTGGACTTCTAATACTCCGATCATCTGAAGAAGTGGGCTGTGCCCACGAAAGCTCATGATACCATCTACATGTTTTGTTAGTCTTTAAGGAGCTACTAGTCTATTTGTTGATTTTTAAGATTTTCCCATTACAGACTAACTCTGCTACCCCTCTGAAGCTTTTGAATTCAGAGAGGTAGCCATGTTAGCCTGTTTCAGCAAAAACAACAAGGAGTCCAGCGGCACTTTACAGATTAACACTTGTATTCGTTATTAGAATATAAGCTTCTGTGAGATACAACTTGAGGGTTTCATTTTAAGTGAATTTACAATTATAGACTCCCAGAAGATAAGGACTGGCCAAAACTTCAGGAGATCACTGTGGCTCTGGAGAACTGTTATGCTGTTCTGGATATAGGAGCTAAGGAATAACCCCCTAAAACAGAAGAAGAGAATCCTTGTACCTCCAAGGCCACCACTGTGAGAAGGTAACATAGGATATCAGTGGTTGGAGACTCTCTTCTGAGAGGGACGGAGGCACCTATCTGTCTCCCTGACATTTAATCTTGGGAGGGATGCTGCCTGCCAGGGGCTCATATCTGACAAGTTACGGAGGCATTGTCGAGGATTATCTGGCCCTCTGATTACTACTCCATGCTACTCTCCATGTGGGCACTAATGCTATTGCAAGGTGTGACTTTGAGCAGATCAAGAGTGACTCCAGGGCTCTAGGAGTATGGGTGAAGGAGTTTGGAGCACAGGTGGTATTCGCTTCAGTCCTTCCTGTCAAAGGTGGGGGCCCAGGCAGAGATAGGTGCATCTTGGAACTGAATGCCTGGCTTTAAAGATGGTGTCACCAGGAGGACTTTGGCTTCCTTGACCACAGGATGCTGTTCCAAGAAGGACTGCTAAGCAGGGATCGGGGGCTCATCTTTCGAGGAAGGGGAAGAGAGTATTTGGACACAGATTGGCTAACCTAGTGAGAAGGGCTTTAAACTAGGTTATATGGGGGGAAAACTGGGGGGGGGGGGGGCAAAAATCAAATCAGTATCTTGGATGCCTACATACGAATGCAAGAAATATGGGGAATAATCATGAAGAACTAGAAGTGTTAATAAATAAACACAACTATGACATAGTTGGTATCACAGAGACTTGGTGGAATAATACACACAATTGGAATATTGGTATAGCTGGGTACAGCTTGCTCAGGAAGGATAGGCAGGGAAAAAAGGGAGGAGGTGTTGCCTGATATATTAAAAATGCACACTTGGACTGAGGTGGAGATGGACATAGGAGACAGACTTGCCAAGAGTCTCTTGGTTAGGTAAAAAGGGGTAAAAAACAAGAGTGATGTCATGCTAGGGGTCTACTACAGACCACCAACCCAAGCAGAAGAGGTGGATGACACTTCTTCTAAACATCTAACAAAATAATCCAAAGCGCAAGATTTGGTGGTGATGGGGGATTCCAACTATCCAGACCTATGTTGGGAACCTAACATAGCAGGGCACAGATTAGCCAATAAATTCTTGGTCTGCATGGAAGAGAAATAATTGGGGAAGCTGTTCTTGATTTGATTTTAACAAATAGGGAGGAACGGGTTAAAATTTGAAAATGGAAGGTAGTTGGGGTGAAAGTGATCATGAAATCAGAGTTCATTATTCTAAGGAATGGAAGAAGTAGGAACAGCAAATTAGAGACAATGGATTTCAGGAAGGCAGATTTTAGTAAACTCAGAGAGCTGGTAGGTAACATCCGATGGGAAACAAGACTAAGAGGAAAAACAACTGAAGAGAGTTGGCAGTTTTTCAAAGGAACATTATTAAGGGCACAAAAGCAAACTATTCCACTGTGTAGGAAAGATGGAAAGTATGGCAGGAGACCACCTTGGATCAACCTGGAGATCTTACGTGATCGAAAAATCAAAAAGAAGTTGTATAAAAAGTGGAAAATAAGTCAAATTACAAAGGATGAATATAAGCAAACAACATAGGTATGCAGAGGCAAAATTAGAAAGGCAAAGGCACAAAACGAGCTATATCTAGCTAGAGACATAAAGGGTAACAAGAAGATGTTCTACAAATATATCAGAAGCAAGAGGAAGACCAAGGACAGGGTAGGCCCATTGCTCAGTGAAGAAGGAGAAACAATAACAGGAAACCTGGAAATGGCAGAAGTGCTCAATGACTTCTTTGTTTTGGTTTTCACCAAGTAGATGGATGGTGATACGATGCCTAACATAATGAATGCTGGTAGAAATGGGGTAGGTTTAGAAGTTAAAATAAAAGAACAAGTTAAAAATTACTTAGAAAAATTAGATACCTCAAAGTCATCAGGTCCACAAGAAATGCATCCTAGAATACTCAAGGAGCTGATGAAGGAGGTATCTGAACATTTAGCTATCATCTTTGAAAAATCATGGAAGTAGTGAGAGATTTCAGAAGACAGGAAAAGGGCAAACCTTTTCCCATCTATAAAAAGGGAAATAAGAACAATCCAGGAAACTACAGACCAGTCAGTTTAACTTCTGTGCCAGGGAAGATAATGGAGCAAGTAAATATGGAATTAATCTGCAAACCTCTGGAATACAATAAGGTGATAGATAATAGCCATTATGGATTTGTAAAGAACAAATCCTGTCAGACCAGTCTGATAGCTTTCTTTGATAGCATATCAAGCCTTGTGGATAAGGGAGAAGCGGTGTACGTGGTATACCTAGACTTTAGTAAGGCATTTGACATGATCTCATATGACCTTCTTATCAATAAACTAGGGAAATACAACCTAGATGGTGTGACGGACTGGGCTGGGTCTGGGCACAGCTGAGGGAGTCCCCACTCAGGGCGAATTGCTCAAAACCCAGGGCTCGTTACAGCCTCAGACTGGAGACCTTCCCAAATAGGCCACAAACCAGTCACACCGAGCGCTTGAGATGCCAGTCTGGCCAGTCAGAAACCTCACAAGCAAAACCCCTCTGACACCCCAGCTCTTCCTGTGCCTGGGCCTAACACACAGGTGTGGGATTATAGAACCCAATCTCACCTCCCTCAAACAGGTTCTTCCGGTCCCAAGAAACCAGCCACAGTTCCCAGGTTAATTTACATTCTGGATCTTACCCACAAGATCTGCCAGGAGGGGAGCGGGGTGGGGTGAGTTGGGAGGAGATGTGGGGGGTGGGGGAAACCGGCCGCCAGGAAGCAGGGTTGGGGGAAGCAGGGCTGTCCGGCGGAGATTGGGGTGGGCGGGGAGCGGAAGCGGGGCTGGCCGAGGGGGCGGGAGGGGCTGACCAGGGGAGATCGGGAGGAAGAAGACTGGAGAACTAGCCTTCGGAAGCAGGGCTGGATGGGAGCAGTGTACTGGCAGGGGACAGGGCAGGGGTAGAGGAGGAGCTGGACGGAGGAGATCATGAGGAGGACAATGGGAGAATCAGCCTTCGGAAGCAGGGCTGGATGGGAGCAGTGTACTGGCAGGGGACAGG